GTGTTGCAGGCATCTTAAGAAAGGAAAATTCAGATTTGCAAATTATGAGGTGCACCTGTCACCTCTTAAATTTAGCAGCTGAAAAAGGAGCAGCTTCGTTACCAATAAATATGGATGAATACATTGTTGATATTTATTATTATCTTGAAAGGAGTTCTAAAAGGAAAGAAATATTGAAACAGTTCCAACAGCAGCATAACAGCAGTTTACAATTAGAAAACTTGAATGAAATTATAAAATCAGCTAGGATTGACACACAGTGAAGTTTTATTGCAAAACTGAAAGTTGCTGATGGAATTTTAAAATATAGTGAACTGTCTAGAATTATGTTGGCCATCTTGACAGTTTCCCATAGTAATGCAGAGTGTGAGAAAATTTTCAGTGTTGTTGCGAAAACGAGGTCTAAATTTAGATCTAATATTAGTGATGACACATTAGAAAAACTTTTATTAGCGAAAGCAGGCCTACATGGCAATTGCTATGAACAAAATTACGAAGTTTCTTTCTTAAAGAAAGCAAAATCTGCCACTTTTTATAACATTCGTATGAAAACTGATTAAAGTTTTTTTTTTTTTTTTTTTTTTTTTTCTCCCCTTAAATGATGCAAGTAATAAAAATGTTTTTTATGTGTAAGGTATTTTTCATTGCCTTTTTCTTCTCAGTGATGGATAGGATACCTACTTCTGTGAGCCTGCAAGGATATTTCATTCACAAGATCTTGCTATCTGTTCTTATTACTTTTGCCCTTTTGCATATGTAATGTAGGAAGAATGATCTTTATGATAGCGATTATGTCTCCATTTTTATATCACTTGCTCAAGAAGGAGTAAATTCCGTGTCAAGATCTCCGATTTATACTTGATAGGGCAGACTGGAAACTTCTCATGTCTTGCTGAGATCAAAGAAGAAGTTATAGAAGATGTGCTTATTAATGATGCTGTGAGAGCCTTTACTGATACACTATCTGGTCAGAAGTATCCAGACAACCCCCATAAAGAAATGGATTTGGCAGGTGACCTGATTTGATGTGTAACGAAAAGCTATAAAAGCGTTGGTAGGGGTTTGTCAGGTCATATTTGTGCATTTGAAAGACAATGATTAAGACAAAGGAACTTAGTGATTTTGATCGTAGCAGTATAGTGGTATGCCACCTTTGTAGGAAATCAGTTCATGAAATTTTGGACATTTTACAGAAGCCAAAATCCCCTGTGAGTAATGTAATTATGAAGTGGAGATGTCGAGGCAGTGAAACTGAAAAGAAACAAAGTGGCAGGCTGGGGGGGAAAAAAAAATAGTGAATTCAGATGTAGAACTCTGAAAAGGGTAGTGAAACAAAATCACAAGTCCTCATTGGTTGAAATTACTCAGGAGTTCCAAAGTTCACCAGGCATTAGTACTAGCAGTATGCCTGGCATTCCATAGTCATGCAGCCACTCGCAAGCCAAACATCACTCCCCAGAATGCGAAGCATTGATTGCAGTAGTGCAAAGCCACTGTTACTGGATTGTGAGCATGTGTTGTGTCAACCGTAAAGTTTGGTTCTACCAGAATCATGGTGTGCGAGTGTTTTTCTTGGTCCCTAAAATCCTGTGATTGGAAACATGAACTGTTACATTCTGAACAGCGCTGCTCTCCCAAATCTATGGCAATATTTCATATTTCAGTGAAAGCCTGTTTCTCTTCCAGCAGGATAACTGCGCTATCCATAAATCGAGACTTGCGCAGCCATGTTTAGCAAAATGGGTGTTTAAAAACTGGACTGGCCTTCTCAGAACACTGATCTAAATGCCCATAGAAGACCTTGGGGACAAATTAGAATGCAGATTACGTAGCCTGCCAAATCGACCATCCTGAGTGGCAGCACTCACTTCTGCTGTGATGGATGTCTTGAAGTCAGTTGCTATGGCCACCTATCAAAAACTTGTGGAAAGTCTCCCCAGACATGTGCAGGCTGTCATTGATGCAAAAGGGCTGCCGACTCTCCAAGTCCGTACCACTGGGTGTCCGGATACGTTTGGCCAGTGTATTATTGTCATAGGCTGCTACTATGTCTATACGTATGACTTCAACAAAGTTATCGAATTTTCAAAAGCGTGGTAGAACAGTGACTGCCCAAAACTCTCAGAACACAAAGAAGAGCTTGGAAAGAAGTCTGTTGTAGGTTCCTCACTTTGAGAAATTTTATAGCAAAAAAGCAAAAGCACATGTAAGAAAAGTTAAGCACGAGAGCCAAAATGATTCATTGTTGTCCTGCGTGTCTCGAAATTCATCCTCTACACCTAGTTAAACGGCTGTGGGAAAGAGAAAGCATGCAGAATGTATAAAGACCACTCACTTTCCTTTCTGGAAAAAGATGAACATATGATCAGCACAGCAGAAAAAATAGCAAAATACCATAGGTGATACCTTTGCTGCCGTTTCAAATGGCAGCAATTATCCGCTTGCATTTCTTTCTGCAAAGCATCACTTGGAGAAAATTCCCACTATATTTAGCTCTTCCAACTTGGAACCTTATAATGGTAGTTTTATTATACTTGAACTGAAGAGAGCATAGTTGGGACATATAGGACAATTCTGAGTTCAGATGGTGTCAGTTATGGAATGCTGAAGCATCTCTAAGTCATAGCTGTCCCTTCTCACACTTTATAATCAAGCGTGGAAGAAGCATACTTTTCCTAGCGCATGGAAGAAAGCTGCAGTCATTCCCGTAATTAAGCCAGGCAGAGATCCAAAAGGATTCTAACTATCGGCCCATTTCATTTATGAGTTGCATGTGCAAGTTACTGGAAAAAATTGTAAACCTTTAGTCTATTAATAAGAGAAAAACAACACTTCTCTCCCATACCAATTCTGTAAAGATAGAACAATGATTGATAATATGTTTCTTTTAAAAGCATCCATCTGTAAAGCCTTTATCAAGAGGTACTACCTAGTGTCCATTTTCCTCGACATTGAAAAGGTTTACAATAAGACATGGAGATACTGTAATTTGCATGGTCTTTATGCTTGTACGGCAGCCTACCAATTTTCATTCAAAATTTTTTAAGGCTAGAAATTTTCAAGTAAGGTTTGGTTCTGTTTTGTCAGATAACTTTGAACAAAAAGAAGGTATGCCTCAAGGCTGCATTTTAAGCACTACTTTGTACATTAAAAATAAATTCTGTTTTAAAGGAACTTTCTTCTACCATTTCAGGATCATTGTACATTGATGATCTTCACATTAGTTGTCAAAGTGCAGATGTGAGATTGGTGGTGAGATAATTGGAAATCACTTTTAATAGATTCAACGAATGGTGAGACAAAGAAGGATTTTTGTTTTTGAAACAAAAGACTGTTTGCTTGCACTTTTCCAGAAAGGAAGATCTCCATCCTGAACCTGAGGTATACCTTAATGGCTCATTGATTCTAATTGAATCTGAAGTTTTTAAGGGTGATGTTTAATTGAAAGCTGACCTTCCTACCTCATGTCTTATATCTGAGGAAGAAATGTTACAAAATATTAAATATTATGCAAGTCTTTTCAAACACTTTCTGGAGCCTTGAGTGCCAGTCTTTGCTGCAAATGTATAACACTTCTCTGATCTAGACTAGATTATGATTCAGTCATTTATGGATCAGCACATTCTTCAATTTTATTGAAACTAGATTCTGTCCATCATCAAGCTCTGAGGATTAGTTTTGGAGCCTTCAAGAACATCTCCTGTCCAGAGCCTTTAAGTTGACTCGTATGAACCATCACTCCTGTTAAGACCTGAGCAGTTGTCTCTTCACGATTATTTCAATATATTATCCCAACCACACTATTCTTGCAAAATGTCCTTGCTTGATGAGATTATATACAAGTTGCTTTTCCTTAAGCACTTGAATCATCCCGCTATATATAGTTCAAAAGCAGCTGGCTGTGTAGGGACAGCCTTTGTAACTGGTGACCACATGCAGGGCAGACATAACAATTATTGCTATGTCCCGACTTTTGAACTAACTGCCATACATTATGTACTTTCCTTCATATCTAAGCAATGCTGGGAAAAGTTTATGATTTATACTGACTCGTTCAGTGCACTGAAAGCATTAGAAAATTTTTCTGGTACACAGAATCCAGTTCTTGTTGAGGTCCTAAGGCTAAATTTAAATTTAAGGAAGCGTGGTTATCATATTCTTTATTGCTGGGTTCCTGGATTTGTGTGTATAAAAGGAAATGAGCTGGCAGATATCATATCTAGTTGACTTCTCCCTTTGAGAGATATCAATATCATCATTAAGCAGAAGATCCGGACTAAATGGCAGTAACTTTGAGACTTTCAAATAAATAATAAATTTAGAATCGTAAAACTGAATACTAAATTTTGGAAGGCTAATAGAAATGAGAGGAGGTTCTTTTTATCTCATCGTAGTATTATCACTTTCATGCTACACATAATTAATCTTCTAGAAGTCGAGAGTGAGCCCATTTGCTCAAAGTATAATGGCCCTCTATCCATGCTAAGAGTCTGTTTAAAAATTTTAATAGCTCTGACTTACCTGTTGACTATTTAATTAGAAAAGATGTCAGTTTTTACCTACTTTAGTATTTGAGAGAAACTGTTTTATAATTTCGTTAGTTTTAAAGAACTTAATTTGTTTTTATGTGCTATATGTATTGAGATTTTACTGGTTTCAACTTTAAACGTGTCATGCGAATTTGATGTAGCTATTTTTAAATTGTGTCAATATGATCATGTGTTTATGACCTATATATAAAATGTTATAAAGACCATGGTGTAATATGATCATGTGTAGTTTATGTGCTATTAATCCCACCATCCATTCAACACATTGATACTTACCTTTTAAATGTAATTTTGAATTAAATGTTGTGTTTATTATTTGTTGTGTTTATTTTGTTTGATTGTAGAACAGTTTTAAAGTTAAATTGTTATATATTTTTTTAACTAAATGTGTCAGATGGAGGATAATGGGTAATCTGATTTAAATTCTGACACTCAGCTATTTGTTTTCAGATTATGGTCAACAATCCAATTTTTGGAAATAACCCAGTGCTTCAAGAACAGATGAGACAATCTTTACCGACCTTTATTCAGCAGGTCAGTATGTCTTGAAATATGCATAATTATTTAACACTAGTAGACTTATGGGACCCATCAATTTGATATATTTCGAAGTTCATGAGTAAAATTACAAAAACGGTTTTAGTTTTCTAATTTATGCTTACAATTACTGATGTAATGAGACAAATACATATCCAAATTTATTTCTTCATCAGCTCTTTAATTTCAGAGTTCTGTACTTGTCAAAGTGATAGGTAAGCTAATTTCATAGTTAATAATAAACTGTTTTTTTTATGAAGTTATTTTCCTAGCGACAATTGTGATTGAACTGTAGATACTAAATAAAAATCATATTTAAACAGACATAACTCTTGTTAACTTGAAACTCAATATCAATGCACTGTGGTTCACTAGAGTAGGATATATGTCATGTGTGATTATCTGTCAATCATATGTACTTAAATCATTAAGCTCAAGACTAAGGAACAATCTACAGTTATTGAGTTCCAGTCAGTTTGTCAAGACGTTTTAGAAAAAGTTTCAGTTAGTGCGAGTAGAGAAGATCGAGAAAAAAGTATTAGACTATTATGGATATTAGCAGTATCATTATAGAGTTAGAAGTAAGTTCTAGTTTTACTTTATTTTTGATGAAATACCTTTCTTTAAGTCATCATGGGTAATTCAAGAAGAGATACTGAATTGCTAGAGAGAAAAGTGAGTATTGACAAAGATTGCTCTGGTAAATCTGTTAACACTAAAACTACCATTATTTTTGTACACAGATAAAAGCAACAACAAATTCATCAACCTGACAGTTATCGATAGTTCTAGTATTAAGATTATAAGTGTTTTTAAATTAAATTGTCTTTTAGGAAAATGTGTGGTTTCCAATACTCATGAGTTTGACGAAGTATGTAAATATAGGTATACAAATATGTCCTTAAATCTAGTGTTAAAAGAAATTATTTTATGATGGGACTCAGCAGTCATCATACTTTACTGATAACTTGCATTTGTATAAATAGAAATAAACAGCATACATATGTGTTTCTCTGTATACTTTGTATGTGTATTTGTTTCTTTATACATTTATACAAAATTGTTATTGATTGCAATGTAAAAGTATTTTTCAGACTTTTGAAAGTTTTCAATTATGAAAAAAGAACTTGCGTATTATTCAGATACCTTGCCACTGATACATAGCCAATGATCTATTGGGGCGTTTTGGTGATAAAATATTACTTTTGACGTTACTGGATTGATTGAACAAGATTTTCGTTTCCAATGAGTATTGTTTGGTAATCATCTTGAGTAGATTTTTATTCTTCACAGTATATCTCTCCCTCTAAATCAGGGATGAGCAAACTTTTTCGGTCATGGGCCAAAAATAAAAAAATAAATAAATAAATAAAAAATAAATAAGTAAAAAAATGAAAAGTTGGTGAGCTAAGATAAATTTTTCTAAAATTTTAAAAACAATATACAAGTATTACAATTTAAATAATTTAATGAGATGAATGAATGACGATTTAAAAAAATTCCTTATATTGAGGTTCATCTCCTGTTCACATGTATAAGATGAAGCAAACTATTTTCTGGGCGTGAGATATTAAATTTGGGAAACTTACTTTCGATAATGATTTGCAAAACTCTAACTTTGGCATATTTAGAAACAACTGCTTGAGATGATTGTTAGATTGTAACTCAATTAATTCAAGCTGCAAATCTGTCCTCACTGCTTCATAATTAACATTGAAAGGCATGGTAAAAGTAGCTAGTTCTGTTTGAATGACACTGAAATCTTGAAATCTGAATGCTGTTTACCCTCTCGAAAAAATTTTGTCGGTCTTATAATTTTTTACAAAGACTTTCTGCATTTTGTTTTCTTTCATATTCGGACATTGCTTCGTAATTGGAATTGTAATGCTTGGATGTGAAATGACAGGAAATGTTACAGCTTCTTTGCAGATGAGACACACTGGTTTATCTTTTACAACTCTAAAAAGTATTTCCAGGTCCATTGATTATTAAAAGCAAAAGACTCTGAATCAACTTTACTTTTTTAGAAGCTATTTTGGGGTTGAAATATTTTATGAATAACGCAAACAAGCACTAGCTATGCTATACTTTTAATAATTTCACCACTATTCACAGTGATGCTATATGTCCGCAATCTTTCCATACGCAATCAATAATATTAGATCTCGCGCCAAAAGAAAAAGCTGCTCGCTGGAGCTTAAAATGCACAGTCTGCCACATGTGAGGACTTATTCACCTATATATTAGATTCCTGTATGTCTGCACCCCGAGAAAGAGGTAATGCCTTGTTATCGCCAATCTACAGCTATAACTAATAAAGAACTTCAGCTTTAAACACTTTAGTTTAAAAGAAAAAAGATCATCAGTCCTTTGAAAAAGAGGAAGAAAAAAAATAATATTTAAACAAAATAGAAAAAGAGATGGATTTATAATATATAAAATATATATATTTCTTTTAATTTACTTTGGACTTGCAAATTAAAATTCTATCTGTGGGCCAGATAGAACTTTCCTGTGGGCCTTAGTTTGCCCATCCTTGCTCTAAATAAACTATCTATTAAGTTTAGAAGGAATGTAATTTCCTTGGACCAATCCCGATTTTTTATTATAGCACTTTTCTGGCAGCTGTCAGCATTACATTTCCATTATCCATTACTCATCACAAATTACTTCACTGCATGAGAATAAGAACATTTGTGATCCTCCTCCCCCAGAATATCACACGTCTAGAAGTAATAGATTGCTTCTGCTTGATTTCTCCACAGATCTGGTAAAAGCATGAAGCAAAATGCAATGAGTCTATTTGATTTATATTAAGAAGACAGGTAGGCATGATCCCATATGCTTTCAAGTAGAAAAGGGTCACTCCCACTTCCTCCCAATCTGCAATTTGATATAACTGTTTTAAAGTTAACATTGAAATAGGGGGAAAAAAAAAAAAAAAAAAAGAAAAAAGAAAAAGAAAAAAAAGAAAGAGCCATGCCCATCCTCCCTTCCCCCCCCTCCCAAAAATTTTTTTAGAAGAGCCTGGAACAGCTTCAAGGCTTGCCATAATATTCACAAGAAAGCAGATTGATGAGTTGTAATGTTCATGATTATATTGATAGATGCTTGATAAAATAGTCAAATATCAAGTAGATAAAATAGTCAAGTATCCTCCAAACCACAAATAGTATGTTCAGAAATGGAGGAACTCTGTTTCACTCTTTGTTTTATTTAAATGCATATATATTAAACGACCATTTTTTATGATAACCATTTTAATATTAAAATATGGGATAATTCCCCCCATTTGAAAATTTGAAGTCAGAATTACCTGAACAAAGGTAATACAGAAATAAAAATTTAAGTTTATGTCTTTTAATAATTTGAATAATTGTTACTCATTGTATTTAAAAACATAATTCTAAATTTATTTTCTTTTCTTTTCCCTATGTCTGGGGAAGGGCTCAGTCAGTTTTTATTTATTTATTTATTTTTTTAAACTAGTGTGATCCTTGGGTGGGTTCTGAAAAATTAGAGATCCAGCATTAATAGTACCTTTCAGAAATACCATGTAATCAAATGACTCTGAATTTCACCAACAGAGTATTTAATATAGAAAATTGTTTGAATAGCATTTTTTTAATTAACCTAGCAGATATCACACTTTTCTTTTAAATTGCTTTTTAATTTAGTTTAGTAAGTGTTTTTTCTTCTATTCTGGTGGATAATATAACAATTTTTTTTAGTCCAAAGGAGCTTTGTCGGTGAAGCACTATTGTTTTCATTTTGCATCAGAACCTATAAAGAGCATATCACTTTTCAAATCATTGCGACCAAATACTGTCGTCCTGTATTATATTTGAAGAAATTAAATAATGAATAATCTGCATAAATGTATGTATTTTCTCGCATTGTGATAAAACAATGGTACCTAGAGCCATCCAACTTTGAATGGTGTAATCCTACTGCTAATATGGGCATCTGAAAGCCCAAATTTGAAAATTGTTTTATTATTGATTTCATATTTTGTAAAACTGAAATGAATTTTTTATTAACAAACTCAACGATTTAAAAGTGAGCAATGGCAGCACTCTACAGGGGGGGGGGGAACCTTTTTATCTCCAGCGTGTGGAACTGTGTATCAGAAATTCTGAAGATATGCTAATTTTAAAATTATTTTGCAGCATTGAACTTAATTTTATGGTTTAAGTGCCAAGAACATGATATTTAATAAATAAAGGTAGCACACAAATGTTTAAAGAATGCCCGTTTGGATGTAATTTAAAATCTGAAGTCTTTTTAATTTTTGTCTTTATGGTCTGCTCTTCAATTTTTTTTTCACATTAAATACTCATAAAAGCTGGAGCATTTCATTACGTGGAGTAGTATGGAAAAAATTTCATTTATTTGTCTTAATGTATTAACCTATATAATGTTGTGTTCTTCACATATACTATAACTGTAGATGTTTATTCATAAAATTAGAATTAAGTATATGCTTTTCACACTTAAAATTTTATTCACATTTTAAATATTTTTAGATGCAGAATCCTGAACTGCAACGCTTTGTATCCAATCCTCAAGCACTTTCTGCTATGATGAACATTCACCAAGGTCTTGATCAACTTCAACAAGCAGCTCCAAATGTGTTCAACATGTAAGCATCTAATACTGATTAATCTATTAATTGCTTAGAACAAATTATAGGTATTCCCACTTAATTTTTTTTAGCTGAAATTGCATATTTGAAAGATTTATAAATAACTGCTACTTGGATATTAGTAATATCATTTGAATACTACTTGCACTTACACAATGTTTTCTTTCAAAGATTTCCAATGTTCTTTTGTAGCTTATAGGTGTTTTTGAGGTATCTACATAGACTGTTTCATGTAACTTCCTGTAGTAAAGAACTTGGGGGTTATATGCCTAAAAAGCATGCATTTGTTGGGAAATTTCTGAAGAAAGCATGCTTGTATTCATAATATGATGTAAAAAAAAAAAAAAAAAACATGTAACTCCCATGTAGTGTTACAGTCCACTCAGCCATTACTATATACAATAGCCCCTTAACTGTCCTTTATAATTTTGTTATGATTTATAATTCATGATATCTAAATTTGCAAAATGAAGTGTATGTTAATCAATCAAAGTGAAATTGAACCAAAAATAAATCAATCTTATCTAGACCTTTCAGGTATTGCCTGTCTTCCTCATGCTTTTCCAACAACTCTTTTACATTTCTAAGATTGTGATACATCATGTTATTGTACTGGAAATTGTTCTCTTTCCAGGAAAAAAAAAAAAAAAAAAAAAAATCTATGGATGTACATAGACTGTAAATGATGAATACAGTCAATAGTGACACCCACTATGATGAATGAACTTGGGTTCATTTCATCAAAACTTTCCCCAGATCAAGATGTTGCCACTTCTAGGTTGTATTCATTCATAAATAGTTTAGGGGTATTTGTTCTCTGTAATTTCTCACTGCTAGTATCTTTCTATATGATAAAGCAAAAAATGTAAATTAGAGAAGGAAACCTTTGCCTATCAGTGAATGTCCTCTTTTGATACTGTGATGCAAATTCCAGCCTATTTCATGAATGAACTACTGTTAGCATAGGTGCTCTCACAGTCTTTTTGCTGTTGAGTCTGTGCACAGCAAGATTTGAGATTTGTTGAACTATGATTCTGTACACAATTGGGTTAAGATGCTTTTATGTAACATGCTGAGAAGCCCAAACTCTCACTTCATTTATGCTGTGCTGTTTCCATGCCGCTTATTTTGCATAATGCCTTTTTTGCTATTTATGGTAAACTTCCTCCAAAACAGCACACGGAAAGTTCAGAAATTGCAAGTTTTTGAAATGTTGCCACCTCGGCCCAATATCCAGTAATAATTCCTTTTTTGTAAATGTGAGAAACTGTTGCATTTATTCATGATAAAACAACTGAATTGCTTTCCAGGTGCCCAAAACACCTCGTATACTCATCAAATTTGCTGCTGATAGATGCTATGTGTCGATGATTTTTTAGGGTTGATGTCAAATGTAGGAGGTGGCCATGTGTATATTGGCTTCCAAAAGTTGAACACATGATACAAATTAGCAGTTTTGGATAGTGTTGTTGAATTGGAGCAGCTGAAAAACACTACAGATACAGATTTCAGTAGATTTCCTCATGTGGAGTGGCCACCACAGTCTCCCAGTCATGTTTACTCAGGAATCATGTTACAGCAAATCTCATACAGAAACTGCCCTAATGGATGAATGGCCATTGCTAGCATCTGTGATGATTGATCACCCCACTGATGAAGGCAATCTGTAAATTTTTTTTTTTTTTTTTTTTTTTTTTTTTTTTTTGTGGGAAGGTTCAAGGTGGTCATGTACTAAGTTTTGTTTATTTTTTATTAGTCTGAAGCATCAATTTGTTAATGACCCAAATGTAGCATTTTCACATAATTTTGGAAAATTAAGTATTGTTCATGTTTATACATGATGCTTGATTTCTTTCATGCCTAAACACTTTCATATGCAGTTTTCTGTTAATCAAAAAACTTTATGGTTTCATTTTGTTTATTTTACCATCTTGTGCTTAACTTTTCAAAGCCACTGTGTTTATGTGCACACACACACACACACACATATATATATATATATAATGGCTTAAAAACCATAATTGTAAACAAATTGTTTTTAAAATTTGAAGTAATTTAATAGACCATTTTATAATTAAAGATGTCACTAATGAAGACTTGGATTGTTTGGTGCATTATTTTATGCTGTACCAAAGAACATTTATCACCCGCAAGGTTTGATAAATGTTGCCATCATAAGACACATGAAATCTTTAATTTCTGTAAAGTTTGACGGCCCACCAGCGGCCGAGCAGTAGAGTTGCTGAATACTGGTGATCCAGTCTGAGGTTCGAATTCCACAAATGGACTGGCTGCATGGGCATTTTCATGGTTTTTCCCATGTGTGAGTGTGACATGTGTACAAGCCAGTTTCCTTTAGAAAGTCCTCCACGAAGGCATTCTTTCCCTTAGGCAGATAGCCCTTGAGGCTTTGCCATAATCACATAAACCAAACCATAATGTTTGACAAATACAGTTCGAATTCCAAGATCTGACGCATCAGAATTTTGAGGAATCCAGATTTCAAAATTTACCAGACTTCAAATCATCAATTTTAAATCTAGCAACATCACATGTATAAATTATATAATTAAAATGTGAAATAATTATTTATGAAACAATTAAGCATGTATGTTTGTAAGTATTGTAAATTCAAAATTTCTCAAAAAAGGCTCAATATTGTTTGCTTCATTAAAAGTATCTTTCAGTGTAAGTTGTTTTAACTTCCTTAACAAAACTTCTCGTTCAGTTGCAAAGTTCTTTTGTTCAAATCTTCTAATTACTGAGTAGAAAATGTCCGCTAAATTGCAGATCAAAATGTTTTTGTTCTAAGCGGGTTTATCACTTTCTTCACTATTGTTTTTTTTTTTTTTTTTTTTTTTTTTTTTTTTTTTTAAATTTAATTTTTTAATTTAGAACCATACTAAAGATTTTGAGAAATGTATTATTTTAGCAAGTATAGCTTAATGCTTAGCTAGCATTTGCTATGTACTATGGTCAATGTATGACGAGTTTGGTAACTAAAGATGTTATTCTGCTAAATTGTTTATATTTGAATCATTATGATATGGAAATTATGTTCCCTCAAATAAACTTCATTAAGTTCAGTAATTTTGAAATAATTTGCTGTATCCTTTCATAAATCGTAAATGTGTAAATTAATAGGAAAACTGCCTTTTGGAGTGCTTGACTAATTAAAAGAGGAATTTAATGTGTTGATGATGTTTGAAAAGTTTATTAGGAATAAATTTCCATTAGGAGATATATCTCACTGAATATTAAACTGCTACAATTAACTACCTTTTGGAGTGATCGACTAATTAAAAGAGGAATTTAATGTCTTGATGATGTTTGAAAAGTTTATTAGATATATCATCTCACCGAATATTAAACTGCTACAATTAAAGAAATATGCATTATGAAAACTGTTGTAATGTTCATAATCCGATAGAATTTATGAGTTTTCACTCAATTGTCATAGTTGACTGTATATAGAGGGTTAGTTAGTTCTAAGCATTGGCCCCCAGCCCACCTAGCAGGCGAAACCTGCCATATGGCTATGAGGGAACAGGCCAAGACACAAAGCATAGCAACAACAACAACAAAAAGTAAAGCAGATACATACATTCCAAACACTCTCGGTGAAATAGTATAAAAATGTGTCGTTTCTATTTCTGTGTTTTTTCTTAAGTTTAAAATCTTATAAGTTTTACTTTCAATTAGTTATTATTATTCAAATCTTCTTTATATTATCAAAATTCATCTTAAAGTTACTTCAGTTTTTTCTATTTTCAGTATGATTTTCTGCTTTGTTATATCTCAATACCAATATTCTTCTTATTCTCATTCACAGTTTGCATAATATCTCTTGCAAATTTTCTAAGCAATTTATAGTTACTAAATAAATCCTCAATTTATATTTTCCTCTCACACTTCCAGTCAGGCAACAGTCCTCGACGAAATGCTTTGAATCGCTAAATTTATTACAAACTTTACATATATCATTTTCCTGGAGGTGGAACCTTTTTAAGTAAGCAGGGAACCTTCCATGTGCAGTGAAAATTTGACTGACATTTACATCTCCTAAAATTTCCATTTTTTTGCTAATTTTTAAACATTTTAGATAGTTTTTGTTTCTTTCAGAGAGATCCCATAAAATTTTCGTCTCTAATAAGCTTGTCATATGTTATAGTACATGTCTTCTTTTTTGAATCTTGAATAAAATTAAATGCATATAGAGGGTGTCCACTAAGTCCAGTATCACCCATTTAACTGCTGAACAGTTATAGTCATAAAAGTGATGTGTCAGTATAGTTAAGTGGCTATGCGCTATTAGATGAGACAGCTTACAGCACCACCTGGTGGAAAATGGCAGAGTTAGCGTCCCTATCTCGAAAACAATATGAGATAAAAAGAAAATGTGAATTGCGAAGTTATTAAGCATCATCAATTTAGTGTGAAAAGACACCTTGTGAATATGAGTGGTGAAAATGCATGTTTCTTTGCGATTTCTGAAACTGTTATGTTTTGAAAATTGCAGCGAAATAAGAAAAGCTTATCTTTCAAACGAAAAGCGAACCCACATCATAGCAGAGTGGTATTTGTAATCCATAGTCAACAGGACTGTGGTTTGAACCCCACATGGTGAATCCTTATACTAAGTGTCTTTACAAGCAGAGTAGACAGTATGCAAATCATGCCCCAAAGTGCATGTCCAAAGGAATCATGTCCCAAAACGCATCAACTCAATGCAACTTGAGCTTGGTGTGCAAAATTGAGCATTATACAAATAGTGTATGAAACGTCACACCTGTTCAAAAAATTCAAAAAGTGATTATTGTGATATGGTTCTACTTAATGGTGAATGTGACCACAAGGAACGATCAACAGGCGCAGTTAAGCCGGCAACCTTTTTCCTGTAGACCCCGCATCCTTCACACAAAAAACATCCTACAGGTTGTGAAATGTTTAAGGGAGACAAGTTGCATGAGTAGCCAACTTCGATCGGGCAAACCAGTTAAGTTAGGGTGGAAAGTACACTGGAAGATGTTTTATCGTATGCAAAACAGCAGCACTAGAGTATATTCCTAATATACATTTTAAACATCATCCAAACAGAAGCACAAGAGATATAAGTGAAAACTGTGGCCTCTCAAAAAGTCTCGTTTGGAAAATCTTAAATGAATTAGGTGTTCATCCATACCAGCCAGCGTCTAATTAGGCATTACCGGACAGGGATGCTAAAAGACATTTCACATGGTGCAACTTCATTATGAAGCAGATAAAGCTCCAGCCAACATTCTTGGCAAATATAGTGTGGACAGATGAGGCATGCTGTTCGTGGAATGAAATGTAGAATAGGCAGAACATCCATTACTGGGCATTGCAAAATTCATCATGTTCTGTCGACATTTGACATTAAATACTGTTTTTGATTAATGTTTGGTGTGGAATTAATAATAACAGGCTAATCAGCTGAGTTTTTTACCAGGATATGTTAACAGCTGCACAATATTAGAACTTCTGCAAGTCATAATACCCAATGTTGAGAACCTGCCATTGCTTCAACTCCAGATGGATGGTTCCAACATGATAGCGTGCCTGCACATAAGAGGTCACAAGTGAAGCAGTACCTGATGGAGGAATTTGGAGAATGACTAAGTGGATATGGTGATTTAAAAGAGTAGCCTTCATGTTCACCTGACCTGATTCTAATAGACTTTTTCCTGTGGGGATACGTGAAACAGCAGGTGTATGCGACCACTCCACAAACATTGCAGGACCTTCAACGATGTATTGCAGATGCTTGTGCAAACATGTCACCCGCTGTGTTGCAACACATGCAACATGAAGTTATAACAAGGGTCCAGATGTGTATTTCAGCTAACAGAGAGAAGTTTGAACATCGAAAAGAAAGGTAGTTTATGATAACTAGTTTTTTCTTACTAAGATGTTTCATCATGTCACAGTGTAAGAAACCACAAACAAATGCGTGTTTAAAACGTTCTGTTCTTAACATTCATGTCCACAAGGTGTCTTTTCATACTAAATCGACGATTCTTTATATCTTGAATTCACTTTTTCTTAATATCTCATATTGTTTTCGAGATAGGAATACTCTTCCATTTTCCACCAAGTGGCACTGTAAGCTATCTTATCTAGTAGCGCATAGCCACTTTACTATGTGTAGACGCCTCTTTTATGATTATAGCTGCACCTGTTCAACAGCTGAAAGGTTGATACATAGTGGACACCCTGTGCCCCAAAAGGTACTTTACAACTTCAGTGTCATATAACTGGACTTGTAATTAGAGAAAAAAGTAAAGGTTGTCTGATGCACTAACTCAAAAAAAAATTTTTTTTTAAATGTGAGGTAATAAGTAAATAAATGTTTTGCCTTTTCAGGTGACAAGAGCAGCATAACTGAAAACAAGTTTTTTTCTTTGTTGTTGTAGGCTGGTAATTGTAGACATTGTACATCACTGTCTACATGTGCAGTAATATCCTGAATACATGCAGCACGTTTAAGCTTGTCATCTGGATTAATTTACTGCAACAATTACAGTCTGTATGGAAGCAGATGAAGCTGCTTTTGGAGTACCCAGTGCAATGTCTTCGGAGAATGCTAGAAAACCTGTCGAATTCTCTCCATGTTTTATTCACTTCTGTTTGGCCTGTGTAGGTGGTGCTTCAAATCCACACTTCCTGTTTGCATGAAGTCCTGTGCTATTTTCTTATAGATGGCTGAGAGGGTTGTGGCTTCCCATATCATATTCTGAAATTTCTCTGAATTTGGGTGTCTGACTTTATTTCAATAAGCTGTGCCTTTTCCTGTGCTGACTTCTTTCTTTGATTCATTTTTGGTGTACCTACCCAACAACAATAAAGAAGAAAAAGATTTTTTTCAGTTATGTTACCCTTATTTTTAAAATTTATTTATTCAAAACATTTATCCATTATTTTACATTAAAAAAAAAAGAAAAACACTTTTTATTTGGTGTATCAGACAAACTTTACTTTTTTCTCTGAGTTGTATGAAATTGTATTGTACGTGGGATATTCTGTATGTTCATCTAATAATGTGAGTGCTGGTTATGTTTCTGGAATATAAACATATTTTATGGGACAAACATCAGTTGTAATGCAGCAAAATATTTTTATATTATGTTAAATTTATCTCATTTAAGGTTTCCTGGGCAACCACCTGTACCACCATTTCTTTCTCACAATCCTGAAGTTACCAGAACTACAAATTCTTCATCCAGTGGCAAAAATGAAACTAATGAAGCAAATGTTACGTCTCAAGATACATTTAGCTACTTCATGAGAAATATGGTAAATGCAATGGCTCAAGGTGTCAATGTATGTATATTTCAATATCATTGGCTGTTATTCTAACTGTATTTCACAGCTGCCAAATCTGCCGGTTTTTCACCGAATTCCCAGTTTTTAATTTTTAGCTTTTACTGAGGAAGATATTTCTTAACAATGAAGAAAACTTATTGAATTAGTGAAACCAGCAGTTGATTTAAGTTCCACATATTTTTACAATCAGATTGGTTGCATAAAGTTCTTGCATACAGAGGAAAAGATGCTAACACCATAAAGCACAATTCACCAACAACTATATGATTTTTAATTATTAACTACTACTTTTATTGTTAGAGTATTTAGATTACATGCTGGCCTACATAGCATTGTCCAAATGGAAAGTTCCCTAAATTGCCCAGTGCACTTTGCGATTTCGAAAATCATGTCCTGGCAAGTGCTGCTATCTGTTGGGAAAAATGCGAATAATTTCCATTAATGAAACTTTAATAATTAAATACTCCAAATTAATGAAACTTAAAGTAGGCAAATTCTATTCTCCACTTCTAGTGATTTTCTTAGTGCAAGTGATTACTTATCTGAATTTTATGATTTTCTTATTACATTTTATTGATCTTAATGAATTTTATTAAAATTCATTTGATCTGAATTGTCTTAATCTATTGTAGATGTATAAATGTTTATATGAAGATTCAAGCAATGTTTAAACAGTAAATATATGTGTTTAATTTTGTTTACTTTAAAATATGGTACTTTTCTAAGTTTATCCAAATAAATACTATGTACATTAATTTTAAATTTTATTTTCATTGTATTTAAAAGTATTTTGATAAATAAAAGCTTTCCTTCACTGCTGAGGACTTTTTCAGTATGAAGGTGTAAGAAAATTTTAAAAATAAAATTAATGAAGGAATGTAAAGTATAGAATATCCAATTAAATGCTAATGTATTTTACATCAGAATTGGATTACAAATAGTTCAGTAACCTGAATCATGCATTATAAAGTGAATTAAAAGCCAGTTTCGAGTTCCTCTGACATAGTGTTGCTGTGTAGCATGAAAAACCTCCCAGTTTCTTCTGGATTTTAAGATTTCAAGGTTGGCAGCTATGATGTTTTAATCCTCTGATCACAAGGCCGTATATATGCGGCCTAGTATATCTTTTGTGATGTCTATATAAATGTGTATATATGTGTGTGTGTGTGTGCGTGTGCGTGCATCTTAGAATATGTCCAAGAAATTAAGACTATATGTTAAAAATACATAAACCCAAGTAGGTTTTTTTTTACCAGGGTCATTTTGGCATTAAAATCAAGAAAATGCTTCCTTCTCGTGGCAGTTTTCAGAACCAATGCCGGTCAGAGTGTCAAACTAAGTGTCTGTTAATTTTTTTCCTTTGAAGCTTTTAATCAGAAATCATGTTTTATCTTAAATTTGCTATACATATATATAGAGAGAGAGGTGAAAAGCTATCATTTCTTAATTATTGCTGACCTTATGGGAAAAGAGTAATTTCCTTTGATAAGTCATTCTTCTTCCCATTAATTAATTTCTTTTGATATGTAGATATCAATTTGATATATTCTTTGTATGATATATTATTTTGATATGTATTAATTAGTACTTTGAGGTTTTAATATGAATTCCACTACTATTTAAAACTTCTAATAAGGATTTTTTCCCCATAGTTTTCATAATCTTCTAAAAAACTAACTTCTACACATTCTTCATTTTCTAGGGGGTAGTCGAAAATAACAAATTAAAAATTTAAATAGGGGAAAAAAATCTGAGAACCTTTCAGATCTCACATTATGCCGAAAGCGGCGCTTTTTTTATCGGTTTGTGTGTTACCTTTATTTTTTAAATACAAAGTCGTTAATCCGGACTCGTCGGGACTTCGGCGATTCCGGATTATCGATTTTTCCGGATTATAGATCATCAGTTTAAATCTCGTAAGGTGGCATGCCGAAATTCTAAAATTAAAAATATGAAACTGTAATTTATGAAATAAAGAATAATTATGATCTAAAGGGTATCAAAATTTGCAAAAAGAAAAAGCTTAATATTTATTTGTTTACTTTATTAAGCATTTCTTTCAATGTAAGTTGTTTAAGTTTTGCTTCGTTTCATGTGATAATACTTTCTCTTTAATTCTATTAAACAGACATAATTTCTTGTTCAGTTACAAAGTTCCGATGTTAAAGTCCTATAATTGCTGTGTCGAGAACACCGACTAATTTGTCAATCTAAATTTTTTCGTTTTCACTAACCTCTGTCACTTTCTTCGCTATTGGAAGCGAATTATAATGACGGGGAACTTGTTTTAAATCATATCAAAGACGGAGCACATTGAGATGAAATACTAATTTGGTAAGGAATTATAAGCCAAATAAAATAAAAACATCTGCTCTGAAGATAAGGATAGTGCTGACAGATCAACTTCCAATTCATTACGTGCCCGCTGCGGCGTTCCCCCCGCCGAGCAGCGTGAAATTGATAAACAGATTTCGGATTTCAAAACATACTTTCGCTTTAGATCCTTTACATATTATCAAATATATATCGGAAATTCTATTTGATATAATCGAAAGTTTAAGCTTACTTTTATAAAATTGCTCTTACAGTCTGCAAAAAATAATAAGCCAGATCCAATTCGAAAATTAAGGAACAACGCAATCATCAACATTAACTGAAAAAGATAATTAGATAATTTTAGCTTATATGTCCATTATACATAAAACGCGCACGGAAAACGTATTCTGCACTTGCGCGCACTCATATGCGCAGTCGTAAAAGATCTTACGCGCACGCATAAACGCCTGTGCGCATGTGTCAACGCGGCGCATGCGCAGAAAGTTTTTAGTTTTGAGGTCCGGATTATAGATCATTCCGAATTATGGGTGTCCGAATTAACAACTTTTGACTGTATCATGTTCTTCGCACTTAAACCACATAAAATTCAGTTCAACAGCAATATTGTAAATAGTTTTAAAATTAACATAGCTTTAGAATTTTCGATGCACAGTCGCATGCGCTGGAGATAAAAATGTTTTTCTTTCCATAAAGTTGCCATTGCTCACCTTGAAATTTTTGAATCTTTTAATCAAAAAGTCGTTAAAAGTGTTACAAAATATAAAATCTATAATAGAACGAATTTCAAATTTGGGCTTTCAGATGCCCATATTAGCAGTAGGATTACGCCATTCAAAGTTGGATGGCTCTAGGTACTGTTGTTTTATCACAATGCGAGAAAATACATACATTTATGCAGATTATTCATTATTTAATTTCTTCAAATATAATACAAGGTGACAGTATTTGGTGGCAACAGTTTGAAAAGTGAATCAACGCAAAATGCCAAAACGAAATTAATAGCCCTTCTGGGCTCATTCCCGTTGGGCTAATAATTAATGCATACATGGGTATAAGCAAGAGATAATATTTAAATCAAAAGTGGTAGTAAACTAGCTAACAGGAAGAATATAAATCAAAAGCACATAAACAAAATAATTAATAATCTTAATTTTGAAATTTCAAACTTATGTTTATATATATATATATATATATATATATATATATATAATGTATAAAATATAAATTTTTAAAGCATTATGTAATCCTTTCCCCTTTTTTAGGATTGTTCTCTTTTATACCATCATGAACTATTTTTCTGCTCATGGGTTGTTTCTTAAAGACACTTTTAGACTTTTTTTAGAAGCTTCATGTTCTTATAATGTTTCGTAGGAAATCATTATCCATAATTAATAGTGGCTTCCTTTTGAATTCGCAATACTAGGTATTATCCTTATGATCCAAATGGCTTTTAGTCTCCATGTTATGTATCTTTTTAAAGATAAAACTATTAGTTAATTATGTAAGCACTATCTGATGAACCTTTAAGATTCTAAAATAGTTTTGAATCCATTAGTGCTAAGTATTGTTATATTATTTGCACATAATGTTTTCAGTAGTCTCTCTGTTTCAAAATAATTTAAAAGGAGAATGCTACAAAATTAGGTTATCATAATCAATTTAAGATGGCATTGTCTGTAAAGTTTTGGATGGGAATATCATATATGAAACAAAGAATATGAAAACAAAAGTTATTGAAAGCCCTATGCAGTTTCTCAGTTGACTGGAGAAATGAATAATTAGCTGCAAAATAGAAAATTTCGGTTCAAGGTTCGAATCCCATGAATGGGCTGGCTTCATGGGTGTTTTCATGGTTTTTGCCATATGTAATGTGTGTCCAGTTTCTTTTAGAAAATCCGTCATAAAGGCATCCCTTCCTTTAGGCAGATAGCCCTTGATTATTTTGTCATAATCAAATAAACCAAAACAAACTAAATCGCAAACATCATTTTAATTTATCAAAGTTTATGAAAAGAGAGACTAAAGTTAGGAACTATATTAATTTAGATAATAGGTGCTATATAAATGTAGGTTGTCATGAACGGATCTAAAAATCCATGCCAGAGGGTTAATTTTACTTTCTGAATGAAGTAATATATCTGTATCTGAGTATACTGATACGAAATTGATTTACATCAGCAAATCTTGACGGAAATGTGCTTAAAAAATACATTAAAATAAGGCTGATAAGAGAAAATTATTGTACTTGAAAAATTATGAAGAAGGAAAATGTTAAAAAGAACATTTCATATTACCTTTGCACAAATATTATATTTGGCAAAAACCAAAATACAAGTCATTTGTAGTCAGTTAACTAATAAATCAAACTTAGGCATAGTATAATGTGAGATATTTTATGGTACAATTGCCACGACCATTATGATATTTATGTGTCATTTAACTCAAGAATCATTTGAGAAATTCAAATCTTTTGTATGAGTATCAGACAATTATGTTAGCTCATCATTTATTTTTTGGAAACATGGCATTTACATGTTTTCTATCATATTTATGTTTATAAACTCCTTTTGTTATCTGCACACATTAGCATTTGATTTGCTGATGTATTTTATGAAGTAATAGCTTTTGTTAAAGCTGTGAACATGTAAATCACATGTACTTTTTTTTTTTGGCAGACTGAAAGTCCTCCTGAAGAAAGATACCGGAGCCAATTAGAACAGATGCACATGATGGGTTTTGTTAATAGGCATGCAAATTTACAAGGTATAAAAGTTTTTATGTTTGTTTTATTCTGTTAGAACATTTCTTTTGAGTTTTTAAAAAGTTATCTATTTTCCAACATAATTATATTATACTGAACTTTTCGCATCGACTGTCACGTGTATGTGCCAGCAAGAAACACACTCATTTCCTAACTGGCATGCTGTTGTGTCAGATCATTTTCTTGTTCACCCGTGGTCGTCGCATATTTGTGCCAGTTTCTTGGAACATTTTAAAAACTAACTTTTCCAAGGATGGCATTGCATGTCTATAGGTCTTGAGAGACATGTAGATATGATCTACTCCAAAGGAGAGAAACGTGACTCACTCGGAGGAGGAGAGAAAGCATAATGTAAACAAACAATGCTTATCTTAAGATACAATAACACGCCGAACAAATAATAATTTAGAAGTCAAACAACAAAAATCAGCATTATATTTTCAAATTTTCACAGGACAAGTTTCAATAGTTATACTGAAATATCATCCTCAGCTGCAAAAGTGCAAATGAATGAGATAAGATATAATGATTAGATAAGAAAAGATAAGAAAGCCTGGACAGGAGATAAGCTACTGGCACCATCTGTTGATGAAAACCCAAACTAAAACATAATTTCTTTAAAGGCTGAAGGCAAAGATGGATTGTAATTAAGGTCGTTAACTAGAACAGAAAGATTTTTTTGAATGTGAAATGCCTCTAGAAAATCCAGTTCACCAATGGAAGATGTTTTTTTGAATAATTTTGGCAGCAGAAGAATTGAAAGTGTGATTTTCGGACCAACAATCTTGGGCAACAGAAGACTTCTGTGTTTCCTTTTTTCTAAAATTTGTGTTTTCTTTTTGTTATATTATTTGGCCAGATGAGATAAGGTACAATGCAAAACTGAAATTTCATTTGAACAAGTGGCATCATTACAGGTCACCATAAAAAACAGAAGTTCATCAGAACCCTAGCATTCTAAAAGCTATGTTGATTCTCATATGATGGCATGTATCCTAGCACATACTCACTAAAGACCGACAGTCAGTATGCAGTATTGTTCATATTTTGGAATTTTACAAGTAATTAGCATTGTTTAGATTGCGGCTGATTTGTTCACTTGATGAGCTGAGAATTATTTTATTCACAATATTATTTGCTGGATTTAAACATCTGTAACTTTGATTTGTGCCTTAAGATGAAGGAATCATTTCGTGACATTTGTTTCCAAATATTTTTCTGGCAGTAGACCATTTTACTTCAGACATTAACAAAACAGGCCAGTGTTGCAAATATCCTGTGATTTTCACATCAGTGGCAACAAGTTGTATACAGTATTGGTGATTATTTGAAGGGCAATTGAATTTGAAGGGCAAGTTTCATTGAGATGATTCTTTTGTGTCAGTTGTTATAGATAGTTTCCACTGTTAAAGTTTTAACCCTTGTATATTTCTATATTTTTATTATTATAAATATTAAAACTTGAAAAATAAGTATTTTCAAGAGAGAGATATTTCTACAAATATTACAACAGTCATTTGTTTTAATTATATCAGGTTTAAAAACTGCATATTTAATGTGTATATTTTGCTTTTCAGCTTTAATTGCAACTTTTGGAGATGTGAATGCTGCTGTTGAAAGGATACTGTTCCATGCTCCTTAAAATTTTTAATTGATAAAAGAGATTTTCTTCAGAGGTGTGTCTACATTAGAGGACTTAAATTCTAATGAATAATATTTTGGAACATAGCTTTAAAGCAGTGGCCTTTTAGATCTCTTAAATTAATTTCTGCTGTGCTGCTAACAGGATTTTAAAAAAATGATGCAATTTATTTCAGTGAAATATTATTGGATGTTATTTAATATTATTATTTAATTATTCACCTTAAAGTTTGGTATGTGTGTTATGAGAATTATATCTGTTGTGGATTGGCTATATCAAGAATTTCGATGTGCTACATATGTGTTGTGTATAAATCAGTTTTGCTGAAAAAAATGATAAATTTTTATTCTAGTATTTGAATATGTAAATCTATATTAAAGCAAAATTCAACTAATTTATAATCATATGTGGTATATATGGTATTTGAAATTTTGTACGCAGGGAAACTAACAAATTACCTCCTTAACAGATGTGCTAAATTCAATATATATAAGTTTTGTTACTGATTTCAGCTTTAATTGTAGCTTTACTATTGACATTTAAAAGCCTTTATGTAATTCTATATTAAAATTTACACTGAAATTATTTCATATTTCCATGGCCAAAAAGTAACTTTTAGAGTGTTTTCTAAATATATAATTTTACTAACGTTTTCATTAGCTGGTAATTTGTTAGATAATATTTGCAGTTACTAGGAAATTTATTATCTGACTTGTATGTTCTGTGTTATGTTTTACTTATCTGAAATTCAGTTTTCATCTTAGTTACTGCAATATGAAATATGCAGGCATTTATAGTATGCTCCTTCAGTTTGTTCGTACAGCAATCAGTAATTTTTTTCCTGATCTTGCAGTCGCAACCTTTTTATTATTATTATTATTATTATTATTTTTTAATGACAGGTGAAGAGAAGAATATGCTATCAGTTAAATAAATGAAGAAAGCATTAGATAAAAGTCCACTTTCTGTCTTATTACTCTAAAAATTGATATGTGATGGTTACTCAATCAAGATTTCAAATTTCTGTTGGATTTTCTTCCAGTTTACATGCACCTCATTACCAGTTTACCTGTACCTCATACCTATCCTAATCTCTCTGTTATTTTATTTTTTGTTGTTTGTTTTGGATACTCTGGAGTTTACGTATATATATATATATATATATATGCTTAAAAAAAAAGAGGAAACGAAACTGTAAACTTGTTAGTGCTGTTAAAAAATTAAATTTTGTAAAATGGTTATAGTTAAGACACAATAACACGCCGAATAAATACTAATTCAGAAGTCAAACAACAAAAATCAGTGTTATATTCACAAAATTTTCACAGGACTAGTTTCGATGGTTTTACCGAACCATCATCTTCAGCTGCAAAACCGCAAATGAACAAGATAGGAAATAATGATTAGATAAAATAAGAAAGCCTGGACAAGAATAAGCAGGTGGTGCCATCTGTTGGTGAAACCAGAACTAAAACATAATTTCTCTAAAAGCCGAAGGCAAATTTGGATTGGAATTAGGATCATTAACTAGAACAGAAAGATTTTTATGAATGTGAAATGCCTCTAGAAAATCCAGTTCTCCAATGGAAGATGTTTTTTGAATAATTTTGGCAGCAGAAAAATTGAAAGTGTGATTTTCGGACCAACAATGTTAAGCAACAGAAGACTTCTGTGTTTCCTTTTTTCTAACATGAACATGAAGCATATGTTAGAAAAAAGGAAACACAGAAGTCTTCTGTTGCTCAACATTGTTGGTCCGAAAATCACACTTTCAATTTTTCTGCTGCTAAAATTATTCAAAAAACATCTTCCATTGGAGAACTGGATTTTCTAGAGGCATTTCACATTCATAAAAATCTTTCTGTTCTAGTTAACGATCCTAATTCCAACCCAAATTTGCCTTCGGCTTTTAGAGAAATTATGTTTTAGTTCTGGTTTCGCCAACAGGTGGCGCCACTTGCTTATTCTTGTCCAGGCTTTCTTATCTTATCTAATCATTATTTCCTATCTTGTTCATTTGCGATTTTGCAGCTGAAGATGGTGGTTCGGTAAAACCATCGAAACTAGTCCTGTGAAAATTTTGTGAATATAACGCTGATTTTTGTTGTTTGACTTCTGAATTAGTATGGTTATAGTTATCTAAAACAAACAGCAGTATGTAAGTATTTCCAGTAATCATTGTGCATGTGTAATTCATATGTGACCATTATTTGTAAAGTTAAAACAAAGAATCTCATTTCCCCCTTTTAAATAATAATTAAATTATACAGACAATAAAATGCTTTTAAAGCTTGACTAAATACTAGACAGTTTTGCATTTGAAAAAACTTATTTGATAGCAGTCTGTAAAAGGTGTAGTGATATACTGCTTTTAATTTTTAAAAATATATTATGCTTTATATTTATTAATTATACAAAGCTTTGCTTTTGTATTAAACACAGTAAATAGGAGGGGATCAGTCATCTTAAAATTAGGGGTAGGAATAAAAGTAAAATAATAATGAAAATGTTATATATACCAATGCATTGCATTGTTGTTTGTAACTTAAGATTTTACTAATTATTTATATATTAATATTATTTTTGTTAAGTATATATGGACTAATATTTTGTTGTCTTTTATTAATTTCTGTTCCTTCTCCTAAATCTCATAACTACCTTTTGGCATTAAATTAGCAGAAAATGCTTTTATTAGAAATTGCTTGATATGAATACTTGTTACCACCATTTTGTTACTTTTATCTCAAAATGGCACTTATGGAAACTATAGCCTTTTTAATCAATAGTTTTGTCAGAGTTTTATATTATGCCCATTTAATATACGGAGAGGTCTTTCTAATGCAAGAGTTAGCTTTTTCTATGTTCTTTAAACCAATTTTAAAGGATATTTTCTGATTCATTTTATTTTATGGAATGAGTATATCTCTCCTATCTCACCAATATAAAAACTTGAGCATTTAGTGAAATACCACTATAATCCTTTAAAACAGCTATAATGTTCAGATAACAACAAATTTACTTTAACAAATTGAAGTATGGTTTATTATCCATGGTTTTAGAAAAATGAGGATTGTTTCAAACAAACAGGAAGCACATATATTTCTGTGATATTATTCATTTGATTTTTGTTTTTTTACCATGAGCATCTAATTTCCTGATCCTGTTTTTCCTGATCCTGTCTGATTTTTATCAGTATATTCATTATTACCTATCTCATTTTTTATCATCTTTGCACATACAAAAGACTGTGTTGAATAATTATTACTAATTCCCTTAGTGTCTGTATTTTGATCACATGCATTTTATGTATTTTAATTAACTGATTCAAAAAATGTAGAATTTAAAAAGATGCTTTCTTATTGTTTGAGAACATTTTCTTTTAAGATTATCTTGTTTTCTTGAAACCTGTTAATTGTTAAGAAGTAATTTAAATTTTGTGACATTCACATTGCTAAATACCTATGATAGAAGTTACTTGTTTTTCTTTTGCAGTGTGGGTTTTATATGCACCATTCATTTGTCATAAAACCATAGATCAGGGTAAAGATTGTGTTTAAAAACATCATGGCATTCTTTTTTATTACCCTCTAAAAGTAATAATTCTGAACTGTTGCACAGGAGGAAACAGATCGCATATTTTGATTTACTCCTCAAATTATTAATATTAGTTTCTACTTTTTTAAAATTTTATTTACAATATTTACTTAAGTTTGATGAAGTATTCTCTGTTTTATGGGAGGTAATGCTTGGAAAAATTTGTGGAAGGGCTTAGCATTAGAGTTTATCATGCTTTGTTTCTATCAAGAGTTGCTAAAGCTTTTTTAATTATAAAATTAAGACGGTTATGAATATGCCACATATTTCAGATTACAAATTTTAAATTTATCAGAGTTCAGTTTTATTTCCCTTTCCATTTTTTTAAAGTAATTTTTGGTATTAAAACACCATTTTCTTCATTTAAACTGAGAGAATTGTATTAGCTTCTGTTATAGGAATGTCTGGGCATTACATTAGTGGGCCAATATTTGATGATCGAATTTTGATTGTTGTAAATATTTATCTAGTATGTCTTTTGAGTTTTTTTCCTATAGAATTCCTTATTATGATAATTTGCTAATTAGCTTTGAAGCTGGCAAATTTTAGCTGTTAACAGTTTTGGGATGGATGTGTTATTGTCCCCCAACTGTATCTGACATATGGTGTGTCATATATTAAATGGACTATCACATTTAAATTTTTAGATAGAACATATAATTAGATGTCTGTTATGGTGGAATTTTTTAAGATTGAACCTTCATTTTGTTGCAGTATTTTTTTATTTTTGGTATTTTGTTTCAGAATAAAAGTGAAAAATTGTGGTTTGAGTAACGTAAATAATGAGTTGGCTGTTAACTGTGTCAGTTAGTGTAAATGCATGGAGATGATCTCAGTACTTCTGAATACTTTTGTTTATATTTTCGGTGACATGGGAATAAATGTCCTCTTATCTTAGAAGTTTATTCATTACTCTTAGAATTTGGCTAGAGTTGAGGCACTTTTTTTTGTGTCGTTTAGCGAAACATTGGTTATACGTTAAATGGCAAGAAAAATATAATGATAGAGTTTTCAAATTAATTCTGACAACTGCCTGAGTGTTCTGTCATAATGTGCCAAACATTTGAAAATTGGACCACATATTTAATTAATGCGGATTGCCTGTTCCAACAAGACAGTTCATCCTGTCCCAAGAGAGCGATTCGGTAACTGAGGTAACCATTAAGAAAGGATTGACTGATGAGTTATAGTGTGTTAAAACTCAGTAAATGCTATTCAAATTAAAAGTTTTTATTTCTGCCTTGTACTTTTATATGAAGAATTTTAAGTCTTATCTAATCTAATCTTAAGTCTTTAAAGTGATTAAAAAGTACATCTTCTGTTTTAAGTAGCAAAGAAATTGTAGTTAATTTATTTCTATAATCATTATATATTTCTGTTTCATTATAAAGACAAAATCAAATAGGAAGGAAATGATGTTTTTAAAATTATTTCATTTATATCTACAATTTTTTGGCTAATTTTGCTGCACTGCTTTGAGAAAAACAAGTGTTAAATAATTTTTTAATTTAGTGTAGTATCAGTATCAACTACAGCACTTGCAATCAGAGAGTGTAAGTGCTTGATGCTTTTGGTCTATCGATCAACAAGTTTATCAATACTAAAATTAAAGCAAAAATAGCACTGTGTAATCACATTTTACAGTCTGTTCATATATTTCAACAAGTTTTCTGTTATAAACAACCCTTGAACAAATCTCTAGAGTTTATTCTAATTTCTGCTCATTCTCATTTTATGTTCATCATTAGTACATTAGGAGCCTGAAGTATTAAACTGATTATCTGTTGCCAACATTTGTTGCTGATATAGGATATTTTCGTAATATGTATGTATATATTGACTTTTTAATTTCTGTATTTATATTGGAAAATAAATTATTGCTTAAAGCACTGTTTGTGTTTTATGAGAATTGTTATAAATATTTGAAGAATAGAATGTATCAGCTATAATTATAAGATTTCATAATATGTAGTTTTGTACATGAGGAAATTGATAGTTATATATTATCCACATCAATATTTTACACATATCGGTGTGTCATATAATATCCAAGTTCCACATCAGTATTTTTATGATATTTAGGTGGAGATGCCAATTACTATAGATTCTCTATAATTATTGATTTCTACCCTCTGTTATGGAATTAAGGATGTAATAAAAGTGTCAAGTTTTAATCGCGTGACTGTTCTATGTGAGTGAGCAAAAGTGAGAGATTAACGTCTGTTGTGATTTTGCTGATGATACAATAATCATATCAGCTCCTAACAGTTGGAGGATATAGCATACCGACTCCAAAGTAGTGTTGACATCACAATAGATTGTCATACTGAGATTGAACTGTTGTGCTGATATAACATGCAGATGCTATGTGAGTTATGTGAGATTTTAGTATGTTGCCTGTTGAAACCATTATTATGGGTGTATGTTTCTCGCACTTATTTTACTGAAAGCTGTCATGATAAATATACCTACCATGCCACTTTCAAAGAGGCAAAAAGTTCTTCAAAAGTACAGGCTACAGTTACAATGCAAGGTAGCCATGTTTATATATTCCCAAAGTTTTAGAAAATCATGTATTGTATTCTGTGGGCAATTCTGACTTTTCAATGTCATGCGGACGTATGGAGGTTATGATGATTGCAGACAGCACATGTAATCTAATAAACACTAAAACTACATGAAAATCAAACCTTTTTCACAAAGCAGTATTATCATTTCTCTTTAAGAATGACAGTTTT